GCCCAGGCAACAAGAGGTGCCTTAGAGGAGAAGATACCTGAACAGAGGAAAACCCCAGAAACTCTCGCTCCAGGTGAAAGAAAGCCTCATCACAGAGCAGAGCCCCCAGGTGAAACACGGCCGCCGGGAAGCCAAGGGCCCCCGGCTGCTCAGCCTCCCCAACTTAGAAGAGCTCTTTTCAGCTCCCTGGCACAACCTGTCCCAGTAAGACGGGCAAAGAGTGAAGGGTACGTTTTGGGGAAGGGAGTCAAGCCGGCCCAATCGGCTGTACCAGAGGTCTGTACAGACGCCACCATGAACGATCGACTCTGGAGCAAACTGGAGCCTGGCAGCCACCGAGACAGCATGTCCTCGTCCTCCAGCATCTCTTCCAACGATACAGTGATCGACCTGTCTCTACCTAACCTGGCCAGAAGGAGCCTGGGCGTTCTGCCCAGTCCCAGTAGTGGCTGTGATGCCTCCTGGATCGACTGCCACCACGCCGCGCAGGCTCCATGCGACACAGTGAGGGTCAGTAAGAGCAAGTCCAACCCCAACCTTCAGCAGAGGAGCTGTCCCAAAGACGATCTTAAGCCCCACCCACTGCAGCCAGCCAAGAATGGTGCAGACGAGTCACCTAGCAGACTGACCCAAAGAAGGCACACCTGGTGCCGGCTTTATGTGGAAGGACTCAAATTGGCGTCGCCCAAAAGGCCAAGTGGCACTGCAACCTCAGCTGCATCCATGTCAAAGAGTCTCGGGGACCTGACCTCTGAGGACATCTCCTGCAACTTTGACAGCAAGTACCGCAGCATCAGCCACAGTTTCATTGTACGCCCCAGCAGAGATACGCTGCGTAAAGGCAGCGCTCCGAGGAGCCGGCCGCAGAGCGACCTGATGGAGCAGCTACGCCGGCTGACCGACGTGGAGCCGCTGAGTCCCTGCGACTTCATCCCGGAGGGCGGAGCTAGGGAAGTGGGCGGGCAGGAGGCTGAGGAGGCGCTGGTGAGACGGACCTCATCAAGGAGCCAGAGCAGAGTCCGCTACATCGCCAACAGGGCCAAACAGGCCCAGGAAAGGAAGCGGCTCCAGGGTTTGCTTCAGGCCAGAAGCGCGAGCTTCAGCTTCACTGGGAGCACTGAGAGCAGTGGCAGTGGAGCTGGTCCCATGGAGGAGCGGGGGAACCCAGAGGGAGCATGCTCTGTGGGCCAGAGTCCCTGCAGCAGCCTGGACCTGCTGAGCCAGCTGGAGCCCCCCTCCCATGTCCAGCCACCCATGACAGCTGACAGCGCCCAACTGTTCTTCAGGCTGCAGCTCTGAGAACGACCCGACTTGGAACTGATGGTGGGAGACGCAGCTAGAAACTTGTTTTGAATCCATTTCCTTTTTTACATGTCATATCTGCCGGTTTCTCCCAGCAGAGCATCTGAGCCCGACTCAGTTAAACTCAAACGACCACTACTCGTAGAAACCATGAGGTGCTTTTCCACAGCAGGAACTGGAGGCAGGGATGAGCCTCATCCCCTCCGCTCACTTTCCCATCACTCTTCCTGGTTCAAGCTTACACACTGAGGATGCAGTTATTGTAATACTGTACTCACCGGTCATTCTGTCTCCCTGCAGAAGGTTCTGGTTGTCCCTGCTCTCCCCCTCTTCCTCACACACACACCCTGTACTCTTCATCATCCCCTTACCTGGTACAGTTCCTTTTAAAGGAACAAGCTCTGCCCTGTGGTAGTTGGAAAATGGACTTTAGTGAAGAGTTTTTATATAATATATTAACTGATATTTGTGTTGAATCTGACCTGCTCTCATGTTTCTGTATTTTTTAGACATGACCTCACAGTAGCAATAGACACTAGAGAACAGGATTTTAATACTTTTTTTTTTAATTTGCTTGAACTTTTTAGATATAAATTAGATTGTTTATGTGGAGGCATCGCCAACTCATCCATCTATTAGCAATATTTTGAACATGATAGCATGTCATAAAGAAATATGTACCATTTGATGCTGAAAGTCTTGTCTTTGCAGAAAAAGATGGACTGGTTTCTCACTGCAGAATTGAAAATGTTAATTTTTTTTTTCAAGGACTAATTCTAGCCGTTCTGTTGTAACCGGACTGAGCTCCTATTCTGTTGACTGTAGTCTGTGGCATGTCCAGGCGCCGACGCCCTGTTCTTTGACTGAGCCGCTTTGACCTGGCCCTTTAAGTTGACCGCATGCCTTTTTAAGCACACTACTGATTTCCTTCATTTTATCAATGTTTTTATATGAAGATTTAAGATTTTAGCTGCTTTTCGGATCACCTCGTGTTGGCGAGCAGGGCATTGCGTCCAAATCCCTGCTTTCGTTTCTCCGTGCTACTAAAGGAAGATGGGAATGATCTTGTTTGTTCCGTTTGCCCTGCCGTCCAAGTCCTTTGAGCAGAAACTCTGAAGACAATATTGAGTTCAAACAATGTGTAATTATGACATGAATAAAACTCGGTTAACACTGAACGCTTCACACCTCATTTGCTTCATTTGTGTCTAATCTGTCAGAAGCTGCCCAAGTCCCAGGAAGCCGGAGGATTCATTAATGGAGCAGCTAAACTGAGGCTGACGCAGACTGACATGAATGAGCGTCTGGCCTCGGTGTTGGCAGCTCCAATTATGTCCTCTGCTTGGGTCTTCGTTTAGCAGCCACCGCTCCACCCAGCCTCTGCAGCAGGAGGGGAGAAAGAAGAACAGACTCCCCACAGGAGCAAGGAATGTTGAAGAACAAAGACACAGGGCAAAAAAAGAGCAAGTTCAACGAATCATTGAGAGACGAAAAACATGTTTGTACTAATTTCTTGCGTACCAAGAAAATATTAGTCTTCCTCACCACATTAAGACTTCTTGGAACCTTGCTTAAATTGGTTTGAGGATTTTTATATTTTATAATAAGATGTTCGGTTCTTGTAAATGTCCTGTATTCACATAAATCAATCCAGTTTATTTGTGTAGCCCATTTCAGTAAAACAGCAGTTCAAAGTGATTTACATAGTGAAACAAGCTTCACAAAAACAACATATAGTTAATTATAAAAAAAAACATTAACAGACATTACATCTTGTCAAGTGCCATCTTTAAAATCATCAACACTCATCAAATATGTTGGTCAATATTCCATTTATTAAAGTTGAAAAGCAACTGAACTGGCTGTGTTTTAATCCTGATTTAAAACAAGTCTTTGCTTCATCTGCAGTTTTTTATAAGTTTGTTCCAGATTTGTGGTGAAGCTTAATGCTGCTTTTCCATGTTAGGTTCTGGTTCTGGGGATGCAGAGCAGAAACAGAACCAGAAAGCATGAGTGGTCTGGAAGGTTGATAGACCAGCAGCAGATCTTTAATGTACTTTGGTGAAGTGATTTACAAACTAACAGTATTTTAAAGTCTATTCTCTGAGCTACGGGGAGACAGTGGAAGGATTTTAGAACTGGGGAAAATTTTCTTTGCGGAAGGACTGGTTTCCACATACTACACACGTGAAGATTCAGCAACTGACCATTTAAATGAATGGCATAAATAATTACTACATGATTTAAATTACAAGTGGCTGATGAGGATAAATGAATAAACTGTAGTACATATCTGGGAACCCTCCAGGGATATGTGTCAGGAACCATCCACTACTTTTGCACACCACACTCATATTTTGAATCATGTATAATTGTCTTTCTGCTCCATAATTGCATACCACTTTGTGTTGGACTTTCACATAAAATTGCAATGGAATATATTTATTTTAATGGGTGAAAATATGGAAAAGAAGTGTGGATATTTTTGTGAGATTATCCAATTGTGGTGAATTGGGTTTCTAAAAAAAAGACTAATAACAATGAAGGAAAAAACATTAGAAACAAACCTTTGAACTGAAGATGGAGTTCTGGTAAACAGAATTTCAAATGGTCTCCGCTCCCCAGTCTTGAAATCCGGACAGACTCTGCTCAGCCCCTCCTTGCTTTCTCAGGACACTGGTTTGTCACTCAGAGCTTCAACCATTGTCCATTTGGTGGTGTGAAAAGCTGACGGCCACCTCCAGTGCACTGTCGGACCCTGCCAGGCCTTCTTCAGATCCGTAGGACTTTGTGAAGCACGACATGCTTGTTTTAGAGCCACAGACTCTGCTCCTGCCAGCTCACAAGCACAAAAGACGGCTTCATTAGGATTCCAGGAAAACCACCGAGCCCCTCTTAAAGCCGTATTTATCTGGACAATTTGGCACGACTCGGCCTCTCAACTGAAACCTCAAGGCCCCGTCTAGCACTTCAACCCTGACAGAATGTTTTTGTCTCGGAGTGAATGCACTTTCTGCTCTCAGGCTGAAACCGCTGCCTGTTCTCAGAGGCTCTGAGCAAATAAATCAGTTTGTAAGCATAAGCTGTAGGACAGATTTGGTAGATTCTCTTCCAAGAAAAAGGACTTCGGCAGATAATGCAGCAAACTGTTAGACCTGGGGTTGGAGAGCTGGAAGGAAGCTGAACTTTTTAGGTTGGATTGTAATTTAGGCCAGTGAGATGAAAGCTAGAGCAAGCTGTTCTCTTGACTTTCATTCAGTTCAAATGTTTGTTCAGGGGCTTTTCTGTGTTCAGTCTTGGGGATTAGGATGGGGGTGTTATCGTCTGTTTTGTTGCTCCACCAGGACCCATTGCAACACACTCCCTCTCCAGGAGTGGTGGGCTCCTGGACTTTCCAACACCTCCCCTCCACACACACACACACACACACACACACACACACACACACTCCCTCCCGATTTCAGACTGTTATGTAACCGTCCAAAGCCCACATGTAGTGATTGACATTCCACACCTTATAACCCCAAAATGTGTGCAGCACATATCAACATGCCAAGCATTGTGGACAGATGTTGAACCAGTTGACTGAAGACAAACATATTCTGGTCAAACTGGTAACAGTCTGCCTGCACACATGAGGAACCTCATCCTCATCTCTGTCAGACTCAGCTTCCTGTGATCCTGGGTCTGATCTCCTCCCTCTTTGGACCCACCATATAAACCCCCAAACTGCTCTCTGCTGCGCCCAGTTCCTCCCACACGCCTCGGACAGGACCTGGAATTTCTCCTCGTACAGAACTCTCACTTTTCATCATCTCTGGCAGAAATTAGGTAAGAGGTCTCCTTTGTAAAGGTAGCATGTAGCCACCAAAGTGGTTTTATTAATTATTGTGAAACCCACCCGTAGTCATTATCCTGTTCTTTCCAGCTCTGTGGAAACATGAGAGCGGTTTTGGCTTTGGTTTGTGTGAGCGCCCTGACTGCGTGGAGCCATACTGCAGGTGAGGGAAAAACTCCACTTCACCCATCAGATCTGAGGGGGGAAAAAACCTGTTTGTCTTGAAGTGGGAGGAGAGGAGGTCGATTATTATCACCTGGATTGTTTGGGATAGATGGGTTTTCTGTGTTGGGGAACATCTTGTTCTTCTAAAAATGCGGGACGTGGATGGATGAAAACCCAGTTGTTTGGTGTCAATGCTTCGCCTGCTTGTCAAAGCTTTCTGCTTACAGCTGAAATAAAACAGGCTGTGAGAAACTCCTCCTGTTTGAGGTCTGAGGAGGAGCAACTAGTTACATTTACTCAAGTAACTGAAAAACAAAATGGACTTGTGCTGCACTTCTTCCCATTATGATGAAGTAATTCTTTGACTACCTCTACCTTATTCACTGAATGATGAGTAATCATGTTTTAGCCATAAAAAACGTAACACACATTCACAGTTTCTGTTGAAGTTGCACGAGGTAAAGTTTCGAAGAATGTGTTGTTTTTTGTTTTTTTTACGCATCTGTGAAATACAGGAATATATTCAACTCACTCTGTCATGACAGTATAATATGAGGCAGATCATCTTTGAAAAATCCACCTGCTCCCTGTGGTCCTACTGCCACCAACAGAAATACACCGCTCAGTCAAAATCAGCCAATCAGAGCCACGAGGAGCGTCTTACCACTGCCAATCAGACTTGTATACGTGCTGCTCAAGATTGCTGGTTATAGTAAATACGTTATGTATTCTACATACACTGAAATAAACTAAAGGGGATGGTCAGCAGATATTTTGTCCTTGGATTAGGCTACAATTATTTCATGTCTGTTAATCGGCTCAAAAATAATCAACATATTTCGTTTTAAATTATTTCTAATTTCATAAATATTTCTGCATTGAAGTGCTTTATAAATAAGCATCTGATCCACTGATTTTCTGCCATCTAAGCAAACTGCAGAATTTTGGAACCTTAAAAAGTTTTAATGAAAGGAAGATTTTCTTTAAAATGTGTCCTTTTAAATACATTTCTTTAATTTAAGATGTATTTTCTTGTACCAATTCTGCCACTCTATACAATAAAAGCTTTAAGTAAGGGCTCCTTTAACACCTGTCTTACAGCTTGTGTTTTATGCCTGGTAGTTTCTCACAGAGGCAGTGACATCACTTCCTCCTGCAGTCATGTTTCTGCACTCTGTGCCGGCCTGCTCTGGCTGACCCGCGAGGAAAGGTCACGCTCCCAAATCAATCTCTGCCTTCACCCCACTGGCTGTACTGGACTGCTGGAGTCCCATCAAAGCACAGAGAGGGCAGCGTGCTAGTTGGCTGCTGCCACGCTGCGATGAATCAATTAACCCTAGGTGGAGGGGGTCAGCAGCAGACAGGACCGGACCGGACCGGATGTCTCAGGCATCTCGGCAGATTTTCCGTCCTGCCATCCTCTCTGGAGGAGGCTGACAGAGTGTCATGGGCTTTGTGAGATCCAGCCAGGCCGGCTTTGTTACGGCATGCAGCTCTGAAAGGCCCGCGCCCCTGGCACCTCCGCTCCCGTCTCCGACCAACCCTGGCAGCACATGTTAGGTCCTGCCGGACTCGCCGTATCGCCATTGGTCAGTTATGGCAAAATGAAAACAACTAGGCGTGACAAAATCAAACGGCTGGGTTTGCCCCCTGCTCTGATTACACAAGGGCCCAAGAAGGATTGGTCCACAATTTGATCCCCTCAGGGGGAGGGGGCCTGGTCAACCCCTTCATTGTACCTCTCAGCCCTCCGCTCAGCATGGAGCTGCTTTCTGAAATCTCCTGCAAAACAACCTCAACAAAACCGCCATGGTCCTGTGGGGGCCGTTTGGCCAATTTACCGCTGTGGCTTTGAGGAGAACATGACGCAGCGCAGAGCGATGATCTGCTTCATTAGCTCTGTGGGAGCTGCTGCCCATCAGTCGAACAAGTGGCAACTCTAAAACCTTTCATTGTCTGCTTATGTTTATGTACAGTCGCATTACCATGCTTCTTCATCACAATCCCACCCTGTGACTTTTGTCTCTCTCATTGCAGATGCCAAGGAGTTATCCATCACCACTATAAAGGTATCCTTGCTCTCCACCTTTCATTGAGCATGAATGCCTAGAGGAAAAAAGCACAAAAGTTGCTCCTTTTAAAGTCAGGAATGACATCAGGGCCTGGAATCATTTGAGTTAATTATGTAAATTTATGTAAATATTTTGGTGTTACACTAGGGGTCTTATTTCAAAATTCAAACATTAAGGTTTACCTTAATTGGGATTACTATGTTTTTAAAAGATTTAGGAAAGCCCAATGATGATGTCATAGCATTGTACGTTTTCTATAGGTTGATTCTCAGTGGGAGACACATCTGTGCATGTATTTAAGACAAACACACTATGGGACAAGATGAAAAGAAATCAGCCAATATATGAAGAGACGTGTGGAGCTGGACCAGATCCCTGAAGGTTCCACATTCATCTGCTCAGACATTTATGTGCAAATATAAACACCATGGGAATGTCCAACCACAGTGGCAGTTTGGACAAGAACATGTTTTCCCAGCGATAAAACAGGAAAGGGCTCTGGAATTTGAGATATGTGATTGCAATTCAGGAAATGGTCATCTGGAATATCTCCGAGGTCTGAGGTTCATCGTCAGTCCTGACCGCAAAGTTGTGCATGACATTTTTTTCTGCAGTGTTTGTAGCCTGATAGTGACTGAGCACGATATTCACACCTCATATTTTAGAACATATAAACGCCATAATCAGGTCAAATAAACATGACATAAAGCTTAGGGGACATCCAACTACATTTTCGCCATTAGGATTGTACAGCACCACACATTTAACGTGATAAAAACTAACCCAGATACAGTTAAATACATTCCTATAAGCTATCAGTATTCAGTATTATGCAGCTGTGTTATGCAGAGTCAAAGGCTCTATTCAAGACTTGAGAATCAGTTTTAGAAACTCAACTAGAAAAGCACCTTGGGTTGTAATTTTGAGTTGGAAAGTTCTACTTTGTTTAATAACATTTGTGATGGATGCCTCAAATGTCAATATGTACAAATGTGTACAGGAATACATGGCCCATATGCACCTCTTATGTGCCAGATGAGCAGCATTAAATACAGCATGACTACCTCAGACATAGAGATGTTGACGGGTCATAAAGACACGGCAACACTTTTGTTCCATAACTGAAGTACTTTCAATAAAAGGCTTGAGCTTGTTTGTGTCACAGGCCATAAAGTGTATTATATTTATTCAGACAGAACACGCAAAAGCATTAACTTCAGATTATTACCTACATGGAACTAATATTTATTCAGGGATAAGTATTTCTCTGTTTTGATTTTCACATTTTATCAATTCACATTCCATTTTCTGAGACTTACTTTTCCACAGTGATCCACCACATACAACTTGTTCCGCTTTCCCAGGATGACCCATACGCCATGAGCAGAGGCTCCCAGTTGGAGGGCTTCTGCATTGACCTGATCTCAGAGCTGTCCAAGAAGCTGGGCTTCAAGTACAACGTCCGCCCAGTGAAGGACGGCAGGTATGGAGCCATGGACTCATCTGGGAACTGGAACGGCATGATTGGAGAAATAATCAGAGGGGTAAGTTGATGATGTCAAAAAGATGGGAAAGTATGGAAGTCTTGGTTTCAATGAGGAATGAATACATAGATAAAGATTAAGACACAGCAGGTGTTTTAAGGAAATGACGACTCCCAGGTTTAACCTGTCCTCCACCGCAGGGATTCTAGGTTGAAACCAGAGGTTCCTTCCTTCCTTTTTCTCAACCTTGTAACTTGGTTTCACATCATCCATTGTATAAAATGCGTGTCCACCGAATGACAGTGTTACTGTGGGATACTGTGCACTTTTGCGTGTTCAGTGGATTGAAATGATTCTTGGACAAACAAATTTCAGTAGAGAAATTACACAACAGATTACACAGCTTGTGTAATCTGTTCTCATAACACACAGTATTTTTCAACTCAACAGGCAGAAGTATTTTTTATGTTTTCTGCCTGGTAGTTTAACTGCTTAATATTTGGAAGAGTGACAACGTTCACTTCCTCCAATGTGCACTTATGGTTGTAGTTTGGCAAACTAAAATCAGGAAGTCTGAAATTCTTAAAGAGTTTGGAAAATGACGTTAATCGTTTACAACTCCTCTTTCTGTTTGCTGATTGGTCAGGATGAAAGGCAACCTGTGAACCTGAGAAACCCAGTTCAATGGGAGGAATCTCATTAAGCAGAGATGTGTAGCAGACAATTCTACTCGATCCAGGCTACAATCAACTGTTATCACTATTAAAGTATGAAACGTGTGGTTAAATGTGTACTGACACATTTAACCACACGTTAAATGGGGAGCTTCGGCTGACATGACGTCCCTCCTGTCCTGAAATTGTGACTCTGCTTGTTGCTGCAATCTGTACCAGGAGGCTGATCTGGCCGTGGCCCCGCTGACCGTCACTGCCGTCAGAGAGCATTTCGTGGACATGACCACGCCCTTCATCCAAACTGGACTCAGCTTCATCATGCGTAAAAGCGCTGACTCTGAGGACCACTCCTTCAGCCTGCTGTCCCCGTTCTCCACAGAGATGTGGGTCGGTGTTCTCATTGCTTTCCTGCTAACAGGACTCTGTGTGTTCTTGGTGGGCAGGTGAGTTCAACTCCAAAACAGAGGGCTCCAAACGTTATTTCTGATTTCAGCTTCAAACATGTGCAGGGTGTGCAGGGTGACAGAGCGTTCTCAGCATGTGCAAAGGCTGTAGTCCTCAATCACGTCTTCCCCTTCTCTCACATCTCCTTATCTCGCCTATTAACTGTACTAGAAAGGCAACAGCCTAAAAACAAAACAAACAAAAAATGCAATGTTAATAAAACTTTGAAAACTACTCTGCATTGTAATGAACAAAAATGTTTCTGACGAGGCTAAACGTTTCACAAACAAGTGTTTTACCCACATTTGACTACTTCAAAACACATAATGAATTGATGAATACATTAATAAGCATTAATACACACACAGTAGAAACTGTCGAGTGCAGACGAGTGTGACATCTACATACTTCCTAATTTCCTCTCTTGGGGATCCAGCCAGTCAGGGCCAAGGAAAATGAATGCTGCTTATGGATTGGTTCCTTTGCAAACACCTGCCTGTAGTGTGTCAAGCTGAATTGTGTCTTGGTATTTCAAGCTGGATTTCCTGAGAAATATTTCATATATATATATAATATATATATATATATATATATATATATATATATATATATATATATTATATATATATTATATATATATATAATATATATATATATATATATATATATAAAAATCTGAACAGGCCAATTGTCCACAAATAAATTAGAGTTGTTACTGTCTGGTTGTTCCAGGCAGTCATTATTTAATTGATTATTGAAAGTTACAAAACAAATTTAAAAAGTAATAAACAGCAGTTATTTTTACAATAACATCAGAATCCAATGTAATACAGTCTGAACAAAAAAAAAGAAGAAAAAAACATGAGTAAAATTTCACCATGTTTTCTTATGATGCATTTATTGAATTTTTTTCTAATGTCACCTTAACCAAACAATTTAAAAGGAGATATGGAGACATTTAAATACATATGTAACATATATGTAGTTTCCTAAATAATGAAGCCACAAGCTTGACGCTCTCCGTCTTTCACCTTCGGTCCACTTGAAATATAAACATAATTTATCCTAAATGTCTGAATGAACTAAAACTGAATTTAGGCTTCTACATTAGTGTTCTGTTTAAAATATAAACTCACACAACCAAACTCCAACAATGTAGAAGAAACATTTCCATGTAACTTAATGGATTTAAAACAGTAATTTACTTGTTTTCTCCAAGCAACACGAATATGAAGGGTTTAGATTTGGGCCCCTCTAACCAAACCGCCCGTCATGTTTCCCCTCTCAGAATCAGCCCCATGGAATGGGCCGACCCAGAAGCAGACGAGCACAGTTTTACTCTCCTGCACAGTTTCTGGTACATCACAGGAGCGCTGACCCTGCAAGGTAACACTGGACATGGTGCTGACCAGACTCAGGAGCAACCACGCCCTCTGCTGGCTGTCTTTTTTAGGCACATCTTTCTCAAAATTCTGGGATGCCTTGATAAGAAAAAAAAACAAAATCATCTTCAGATCCTCACGTCTTACTGTGATAGATTGTTTTCAGGATAACAAACTGTAACCCTTTAACATCCCTATGGAATCCTTGCAAATATTATCAACACTTTATTTATTTTAAACGACTGCAAGAAAATTTGTACCAGTCGGTTTTAAAACACAACTTTTATCAGATCTTAAATAGAGACTTGTGGGGAAAAAAAATCTTCAAATTCTCCCCAGTTTTGCTTTGTTGGTTCATATCGTGTGAGTTTATTACTGCACAGTTTTAGAACCCAGAAGGTTCTGTTTTCATCTCCACGCTCTCAGTGGTTCTCAGCCCAGCCTCTCATTCCTCTGCTCTGTTCTCCACAAAACTATATGTGACGTTTTCTTCGCCCCTCATCTTTCATAAAACAGCCAGACTGCTCTGCTCTGATGGCCCATCGACAGTTCTCATGTCTGTCTGAGGGGTTTCACTCTTCCTTCCCTCTGGCTGCCTGCCTGTGCGGCATTAGAGCCAGTGGTGCCGTAATGTGGAGCAGATTTAGAAAAACGCAACAATCCCGTGATAATTGTTTAGATTAGAGTTTCAACTCTAATCTCTCCTGCTTTTGGAGGCCGGATTGTGGAGAGCTGATCCCGTCTTTGTCCTCCCAGGTGCCGGCCCTCACCCTAAAGCTCTGTCTGGGCGGGTTGTTGGCGCCATCTGGTGGATATTTGCAGTGCTGCTGCTCGCCTGCTACTTTGTCAACTTCAACTCGGTGCTGCACAACAAGACCAGGCACACCTCCATCACCAGCTTCGAGGAGCTGGCCAACCAGAACGTGATCGACTACGGAACAGTGGAGAACGGCTCCACCATGCTCTTCTTCAAGGCACAGAGAAAAACTGGCGTCCGCCAGCTGATCCGACTCCTTTAACCGGCTGACCACATGAAATGACTCATTTTTTTATTTTCCCAGAATTCCATCAACCCCGTCTACCGCCGCATCCATCAGCACATGGAGCGCAAAAAGAGCTACGTGTCCAGCATGCAGGAGGGGGTTCGCCTGGCTCAGGAGGGACGCTTCGCCTTCATCGGGGAAGCTGTGTCCCTGGACTTGGCCGTGGCTCGGTACTGTAAGATAACCCGGGCCCAAGAGGTCATCTCCATGAGGTCATACAGCATCGCTGCGCCTCGGGGTGAGGCTTGTGCATCTGCCAGCATCACATGCACCGCTGCTGCTTCTTCCACACTGCTGAGTGAAGAACAGAAAACGTTTTCCTGTTCAATCACATTACACATTGAATCAGATGAAGCCATAATTAGTATTGATGTTAATATGCATGCGCCAGGCTGCACATTGTTAGCTGAGATGAGTAAGTAAACTCTATTGTACAGTAACTTGTGGTAAAAAATTACGTGTTTCTGTGTGAAATAATCTTACTCAAGTGAAATGAGAGTAACTTAAAAATGATCAAATGCTAATTAAATAATCTTCTCCACAAGACCTTCCAGTGGATGGCATTCACAGAACATTTTATATATACAGCAACTTTTACACAGCAAGTCACTTTAGCTACTTCACACCACATTCTCAGCATCTTCAGTTCATCTTTGCAGATATAATATTTTAATTCTTCTGACATAAAAAACTGAATCTCATTGGAGGTAGCAGTTTTGGGATGGACTGGCAATCGGCCTGGTCCATCTGACCTTTCACCCAGTGACCTCTGGAGACAGGCGCCAGCTCCTCTTGTCTCCTCTCAATCCCTCCTTTCTTACCCCACTAGGTTCTCCGCTGGTGAAGAACTTGACCATCGCCATCCTCCAGCTCAGTGAGTCGGGGGAGCTAACACACCTGCGGGAGAAGTGGTGGGCCAGCAGCTGCCTGGGCTCTGATGAGACGCACGCGTCGGATGCGCTGAAGCCCTACGACCTGCGCGGCCTCTTCCTGCTGCTTGGACTGGGCCTGGGCGTGGGGCTGCTGCTGGCCGTTCTCGAGCTCCTGTCCAGGGCCCGCAGCCGAGCCAAAGATGGCAAGGTAGGCAGAGAGACTCACACGGCGGAGTCGGGTCATGTGGTGTTCCTGCTCTTTACGGTTCCTCTGCTGTTTCCCAGAAATCCTGCTGCTCGGTGCTGTCATCTGAGCTTCACCAGCGTTTCGGGAGCGGAGGAGAGGGAGCAGAGCAGGAGAGCTCCGATAAGAGCAAAGCATGAAGCAAATGTTCATGCTGGCTGAAATAAAAGCATTGCAGACTGGAAGAAGCTGACTGTTCCTGTTAGCTCTGGTCCTCTGTAGTAACACTCATACATGTTTTTACTTAATGTGTTTTGTATTTTTGTAGGACACCCTGAGATCAATATAATGAGGCAACCTGAGGAAGACACTTGCTCTGAGTACTAAGCTCTCTGGGTTACTTTTTGTTTGTTTTTTTTAGTTTACACTTCAGTTCTTCTCTGCTAACACACCGAGGCTCAGTGTTTCATATTAACACTGTTGTTTTCCCTCTGACTGTTCAAATAAACTTTCCAACATTCCAGTTTCTTTCCTTCTTTGAAGTGTGAAGCATTATTCGTCAATATACCATGGAAAACCATTCCTGATTCAGATGAACTATACGCATCCTAATCTCAGACAGAAATAAGAATTACTCAAACTCAAAGCTTGAGCATGCAACAGGTCCCCACTCGGGATGAAGGTGTAACAAAATGGATAGATAGACACATAAACCAGCCTGAGAGACGCTGTTGCCCACAGAATGAAAGAGTTGGTGGGAATCAAAATGCTAAAGACCAACACAAAGAATTAGAGCAACCTGAGAAACATAGTATCGTCTAGAAGAGCTGATCTATGCATCGCTTTGAGATGCCGCCCGTCTGCAGCAGTCATCAGACAAGAGGTGGACTGGACACACGCTTCTAAAGAGAGACCTAAGAAACCAAAAAAAAACAAAAAACAACGCACTAATTCCTTGAGGAATATATTGAACTGTTATCCTTTTTGTTTTAACTACATTTGTTTTGGGTTCAAATGTAACAGAGAAGGGGATGAAAAAGATAGGAGAGAAGAAAGTGAGAAAAAGGTTGAAAGGGAATGGAGATATGACTGGGGGAGACAAAGAAGAATATACAAACCAACACCCTGTCTCCAGCAATTCCTGCTTCTACACCTGCAGAAAGAGAGAAACAAAAACAGAACCGAGAAGCTATAGAAACACATCTACATGCATATAAAATCACTGGAAATTACAAGTTAATACAAGACGTAACAAGTGGCAACCACAGCCCAGCAGAGTTTATCTGGAAATTCCTGGATGTGTTTGATTGCATGTGTATGTGGTCTTATATTTAATACAGCATAAGGACCAAACCCTGAGACCCAGGAGAAGAAGAAGTGCTGTTTGGGTTAGGCTGTGGAAGTAAATGAGAAAGAACTGTGGACAACAGGAGAAAGTTTTTCTGCTTTCATAACCCACAGCCAAATGGTAATCATGCAAATGCACCATTTGAAATGGCAAGGGAAGACCACTTGGGGGCGCTGGAGGATTGCTTTAACTTGATGGAGGAGAAATCTCAGCTCTCCTGGCTTCATTTTCACATCCTGAAGCGTTTTTTTTTTCCCTGACATTTTGTAACATATAAAAGGATTCTGTTTGCTCCACGGAGTGATGATATAATTTAGAAATCATAACAGCTGGTGGATTCAATGTAGCACAATGAGAACTTTAGTATGAAATCTATTCTGAACTTCTTTTAAGTTCTTTCTGTCAGTTTTGCGGGATTTATGAATTATTCCTAAACATTTCCAATCTCTCAGAGGAAACAGATGAGCTCATCTCCAAAGCACACAAAATTCTACTTTTGAGTTCACAACATGCAACAAAGTGTTGCACCCTTGAAAAGAACTTAAAAAAAAAAACTCAAAATAGATATTCTCTTTTGTGCAACTTTATTAAACAAAATCCACGGTTCAAGCACACAGCTTGTGTCACTTTCTCTCTTTCCTTATTTATTCTCAGGTCATGAACTTTCAACTCCCATCCCATCTTAAAGTATTAAAGTATTATCATGACAGAAATCTATGAAATAAAATAAAATAAAGTAGTTTGAGCACATATTTTGCCATAAACCAAATGAATTGTTTTAACTAAATACTAAATCAAATAAATGCTTGCCCAAAAAGATAATTATGCTCATTAATGTAACATTATCATGTTCCGAACATATTTTCAGGGTTTTACAAATTTTGAGAGACTAAATATTCTAGCAGAGCCATGTTTAGACTGTGGGAGGAGGCTGGAGATCCTGGAGGGAGTCCATGCATGCACAGGCAAAACATGCAAACTCCAGGCTGCGGGAACTCTGGCTGGAATTCAAGCCCAGGACTTTGTTGCTACAGGGCAACAGAACTGATGACCATCATGCAGATTTTTTTTGCATTTTGTTACGATGCAAAGTACAAATGTAAATTTTTTCCGCTACTTATTTTAGCACAGTAAAAGGATTCCATTCAGAAAACGTTTCTTCTACCAAGCCAACCCAGGTACGATGCTTTGGATGTCACAGTCTGTAACTGTTTGTATTTTACAATTTAAAAGATGTTTTTTGTTTTTTTTTTACAGTGCAAATGTGGTTTATGGCTTAATATCTGCTTTGAACTTTAAAATCCCGATAAATAGAGTCTTCTTTCAGTTTCTGTTTTTATTTGTAGTCAGAAAGCAACATTCCTCTACTTCTCGTGAGTCATTACAGTAAATACGATTAGTGTAATTGTTTTTTTATTTTTTATTTTTTTTTCCAAACTGACTCTGTGAAATGACCTGCACTTGAACCTGCTAATCAGCTTCAGGACTCATTGATTTAGTGTCGGCAGGAGACGCCGCCAGCAGAGACGCGCGGCAGTGGAGAGAAAGAAAGGAGCTGTATTGATTTTATAGCAGGCAGCTCCTGTCAGCTGCAGCGAGGCGGTGCATCCACAGCCTTCAGTCACACAGCGCGGCAGACAGGGGAAGTGCCTACCTAAGCAGATTTAGCTGCAAATCCCCACGATTTCCTTCCCAAACCTCCCGGGTTCCCCCGCCCGTCCCACCGAGCAGCACGTCCAGATAGAACAGGAGCTCACTGATGTGCGAGAACGTGGATGAGGTGGAATGGGTGAAAAAAAATAAGTCAAGATTTTGAAGATTAAAAGACTGTTGGTCCAGCTGATAAGTACAGGATATGGCATATGGATCTTTTTCTCTCAAAGAAGAAGCATATGTCCACTGAAATGTCAGCTACGCTTCTCAGAGTCAAAGGTCAGGTCATCCTCTCAGCCAGGGTCTCAGGGCCTCGGAGGCCTTCAGAGAAGCCTCAGTACTGGGAGTTTATGAAATTTCAGTCTAATTTCTACATATTAATTACTTTGACAACCTTAAAGCTCTTTTTAAAGGGCTATTTTTGTATTTTCCAGCCACACAGCGCCACTTCATAGCACAACCAAAAACTGTTACCTTCCGTTTTTATAGAAACGCTTTAAAATTACCTTCCGAATTTGACCCCTTGAAATTGATGTCTGTTTCTTCATGAAGCTCTTTCCAACATGCCAGTTTCATCACAGCAACATATATACACGCTCTCCCTCGGCCTTTGACGTTGTTCTAAGGAGCGTTGCTCTGAGGTAGTTTATATAACAATCTCAGCAGACCAGTGATGGGTTGGTCACAAATGTTCCAGCTTTAAGGAGCTGGCTCTTTGAAGCGAACGACGGGAGACTGCTCCTCACTGAGAGTCTGTTATAAAGGAAGGCTACAAACAGCAGAGGAGAGAGAACACCATCCGAGAGGTGGAGGGCGAGACGCCAGGTAATGGGAGGAAGAGAGAGAGAGATCTCTCATTCACTGCATTCTGGCGCTTGATTCGAATCTCAGTGACAGCACAGTTGGGGTTTTCTCCCACACCTTCACTTGGATGCTATTTGGTAGAATTTACTCTGAGTCAATCAGCCAACAGAAGAAGAAGAAGAAGAAGCTGTGATCGATGAAATCAGTTTTCTGCGGTGTTTTAGGATTGTGGGCAGCGCAGGAAGAGAACGAAGCCGTTCAGTTTGTGTTGGTCATTCTTCCTAATACTGAATCAACATTAACAGCCACTTTTATCTGCCCTTCTCTTTGAAGTGAAGGACGGCTGATGACAGCATAAGCAGTTTCTGGTAAAGGTTCATGGCGTTAAACTGGCGCGTTATCTCACGGAGAAGCCTCATCGATTAGTAACGTTTAAAACTTCAGCAGAGCCCACGGCCCCAGGAAGAATAGAATAGAATAGAATAGAATAGCATTTATTGTCATTGAACAGGATTCAACGAAATTTCTATTGCAACTCCCGTGCAAAAAGTCAAAAAATACAATATTAAATAAACAAATACACAATAATAATAATATATACAACTAAAATTAACTAAAGGCACTCAACCACACCAAAGAAGAAGCAGCAGGTCCAATTATGGTAAAGTGCAGATGATGTGACAGTGCAAGTGCAGAACAATATGGCTGTGTGGGGGTTGGGGTGTGGGGGGGGGGGTGTATGTGAGGTTATGATATGTGTGGGAGGGGGCGGCAGGGAGTAATGGCTCTGACGGCTGTGGGGAAGAAACTGTTTCTCAGTCTGTTTGTTGTAGTCTGTATATTCCTGTACCGCTTGCCTGATGGCAGCGGCACAAACAGTCTGTGGCCCGGGTGGCTGGAATCCATGGCTATGGATCCAGCTCTCTTCTTGACCCGGCCTATGTAAATAGAGTCCAGGTCCGGGAGGGGGCATCCCACAATGCCTTGTGCTGTTCTCACCACCCGTGTCAGTTGTTTCCTCTCCAGTGCTGTGCAGCTACCATACCACACAGTCACGTTGAGGCAGAGGACGCTCTCGATCGTCGCCCTGTAAAAGTTCACGAGCAGCCGTGAGGAAAGTCCAGCCCGTCTCAGTTTCCTGAGGAAGAAGAGCCTTTGTTGTGCTTTCTTCACCAGGTGGGAGGTGTTTGTATTCCAGGAGAGGTCAGATGTGATGTGGAGGCCCAGGAACTTGATGTTGTCCACACGCTCCACCTCTTCTCCATCTATGAGAAGGGGAGTGTGACCCGTCCTCCTGGACCTTCTGTAGTCCACAATGACCTCCTTGGTCTTCCCTGTGTTCAGCACCAAGTTATTGGCTGAACACCACTGAGTGAGCTGCTGAATCTCCTCTCTGTAGTGGGTCTCGTTGTTGTCTGAAATGAGACCCACTACTGTTGTGTCGTCCGCGAACTTGACGACTGTGTTGGTGGGGTGGATGGCAACGCAGTCGTGTGTAAACAGGGTGAAGAGAGCTGGGCTGAGAACACAGCCCTGCGGTGTGCCTGTGTTGAGGACCAGTGGGGACGATGTTGAGCCACCTATTCTCACCACCTGAGGCCTGTTGGTGAGGAAGTCTCTGATCCAGTGGCACAGTGAAGCAGGCAGCCCCACCTGGAGTAGCTTCAGCACCAGCTTGTCTGGGATGACGGTGTTAAATGCTGAGCTGAAGTCTACAA